GCAGAAGAGCCAGCTCGCCCTCTCCTTTCAACAGAACTGGAGGTCTGCAATCAGGACCTGCAGGACAGGTACAAAGATCCAGTTCCTGCTTCCTGGTTGAACCATGAAGGGGAGGGTCTTTAGTCCGAATAACATAGTACTGCAAGAAAGCATGCGGAAGTTTTTCTGTGTCCTGATGTGGGATGATTTCCAGTAAGTAGGTTAAGCATGAAAGAAAACAGAGGAGGCAGGACAATGAGAACAGTATACTACCCTTTGGGAAAAAATGAGGGGAAAATACCGTATCTTTATGTTTGCTTGTATTTGCATAAAGACTCTTGAAGGGTGACATAATGGATAAACCCATTAATTCCAGGGCTGGACTGCTGGTCTTTGAAACCTGGCCCCACCACATAGCTGAGTGATCACAGGCAAGTTACTTAACCTCTCTATGCTTTGCTTCCTCCTTTGTAAAAAGGACAAAATTACACCATCTGCTTCACAGCTTGTGAACAAGTTGATATTCACAAAGCATTTAGAACAGTGTGTGGCCTGCAGTGGATAGTACATAAATGTTATTACTAATGGTATTTGTTGCATATCATGATGAGTGGTCACCTGTGTGATAGGGGGTCAGAGGCAAGAACAGCAGGAAGGAGGAAGAATGTGACTATCTCTTTTTTAGTACATGTGAATAAGTTATTCAAAAGATTAAAATACAAATTATTTAGTAGTTAAAAATCACCTGCTACAAATGGATTTCATTATCTGGCCTATTTTGAAGATTACTGGAGCCATACTTTTTTGTGCTACTCGTTGAAAGGGTTCCTGAGAGAGCCCATGATTCTGTGTTTCACTGTGATTTCACATGTGACTTGATTCCCTAGTCTTTTGAGCTTCTTCCTCCTCTTTGTGTCAATAACAACGGCATTAATAAATACAGTCATAGTAAGTACCATTTTGGAACACTCACTGCTTTGTACATATGACCCCATAAGGTCTTTACAACAACTGTCTAGAGCACTGGCCCCATCTCATAGGAAAAGATGACATTAGCTTGTCCGAGAACACAAAGCCAGACAGGGGTGAGAGCCCAGACCCACTCACAGGTCTGACACCAAGTCCCCTATGCAGCATTTCTTGCCTCTGTGAAA